TGTTAGCCCTATGCTATCCCGGTAGCTGTGAATAGCTTGTTAACTCTATGCTATCCTGGTAGCTGTGAATAGCTTGTTAGCTCTATGCTATCCTGGTAGCTGTGAATAGTTTGTTAGCTCTATGCTAACCCGTTGAACTACTTTATACATGAGGCACAATACAGCACAGCCAATCAGAACACAGCTCATTTACATATATCAGTCTTAAAGGCACAGAAACAAATACAGACTGAACTGCTTTATAAATGAGAAACAATACAGCACAGCCAATCACAACACAGCTCATTTACATATATCAGTCTTAAAGGCACAGAAACAAATACAGACTGAACTGCTTTATAAATGAGAAACAATACAGCACAGCCAATCAGAACACCGCTCATTTACATATATCAGTCTTAATGGCACAGAAACAAATACAGACTGAACTGCTTTATAAATGAGAAAAAATACAGCACAGCCAATCAGAACACAGCTCATTTACATATATCAGTCTTAAAGGCACAGAAACAAATACAGACTGAACTGCTTTATAAATGAGGCACAATACAGCACAGCCAATCAGAACACAGCTCATTTACATATATCAGTCTTAAAGGCACAGAAACAAATACAGACTGAACTGCTTTATAAATGAGGAACAATACAGAACAGCCAATCAGAACACAGCTCATTTACATATATCAGTCTTAAAGGCACAGAAACAAATACAGACTGTTTAATTATAAAGAATAAAGATAAAAAATGATCATATAAAAATGAATAATTACTGTTTTATACATAAAACCACACAAACACTATAAACAGAGCTCAGAGTGACAAATACAAGAGTCGAATACAGAAAAGAGGAATAAGGAGAGAGAGAGAGAGAGAGAGAGAGAGAGAGAGAGAGAGAGAGAGTGACAGCTAGAGAGAGAGACAGACAGACAGAGAGAGAGAGAGAGAGAGATAAAGAGGGAGAGACAGAGATAGAGAGATAGAGAGAGAGAGAGAGAGAGAGAGATACAGAGAAGGGAAGGAGAGGGAGAGAGGAGAGAGGCAGAGAGAATAAGAGAGAGAGAGAGAGAGAGAGAGAAGAGAGAAGCCCTGCATGCAGAATTCTGCAGAACGATCCTGAAAGTCCAAAGAAAAACACCAACCAATGCATGCAGGGCAGAATTAGGCCGATTTCCTCTGTTAATAAACATTCAGAAAAGATCTCTAAATTTCTGGATGTACCTGAAGATGAGTCCCAGAGAAACGCTGCAGTTTAAGGCACTACAGACCCAGAACTGAACCCTGAGCAGAGCTCCCTCAGTCAGTTGGTTCTGAGGCTTATTAACCCTCTAACAGCTCCTAACACACAGCAGCCTCGCTCCAGCACTGCTTTACAGCCCAAACTAAACATCAATCACATCATCAGAAACAGTAAGAATGACTATCTGGAACACTGGGGTAAAGAAATTAACACTCAGAGTACATTAAAATGCTATCAGGCCTTAAAAACAGAATATGAATTGGAGGAGTATCTCCTGACTGTCAGAGATACAGAGCAGAGACAGATCCTGACCAAGTACAGACTCAGTGACCACAGCCTGGCCATAGAATGGGGCAGGTATAAAAAGTCCTGGCTGCCCAAAGAGGAGAGGCGGTGTGGTCACTGTCTGACAGGTGAGGTCGAGACAGAGATGCACTTTCTTCTTCACTGTGAAAAATACAAACAAACAAGGGAAATTTACACAAACAAATTCAACAAATTAATCCCACATTTTGAAAAATGTACAGAATTGAAGAAATTACGAATATTCCTTGGAGAGTGGCTCACAGCCCCCCTGGCTGCTAAATACGTAACAACATGCCACCGCCTGAGAGACAGCAGGTAACAACCTCCCCATACCCCCACCCTCCTGACCCCCCATCCCACATACCCCGACTCCACTTACCCCCACCCTCCATACCCCCACTCCACTGACCCCCAACATTGCAAATGTCATTAGTTTACTAATGTATGGTTATAATTATAAACAGTGATAATAATAATACTCTAATATTGTGATTATAATAATTAATATGGTTATTATTTATGTTGGTTCTTTTATCTTATTCTGTCACTGTTTTTGTTGTTCACTTCTACTGTTGTGATGCTTTAGCAATACTGTACTTCACAGTCATGCTAATAAAGCTATTCTGAACTTGAACTCTGAACTTGAGAGAGAGAGAGAGAGAGATACAGAGAGGGGGAGAGAGGGAGAGAGACAGAGAATAAGAGAGAAAGAGAGGGGGAGAGAGGGTGTGTGTGTGTGTGTGTGTGTTGTGTGTGTGTGTGTTTGTTCTGTGTGTCTGTGTGTGTGTGTGTTGTGTGAGTGTGTGTGTGTGAGTGAGTGTGTGTTTGTTCTGTGTGTGTGTGTCTGAGTGTGTGTTCTGTGTTGTGTGTGTGTGTGTTCTCTGTGTGTGTGTGTGTGAGTGTGTGTGTGTTCTGTGTGTGTGTGTGTTCTGTGTTGTGTCTGTGTGTGTGACTGTG